ATTGCCTCTCTCTATGTTCTTATCTGCTTACAGTTTCCAGAATGTGGATTTTTCGGCATGTACGACAAGATCATGCTCTTCCGCCATGACCTGAACTCGGACAACATCCTGCAGCGGCTCACCTCCGCCGACAACATCCACGAGGGAGATCTGATCGAGGTGGTGCTCTCAGGTGAGTCACAGCCATGTTCTTATTCTGATTGGAGGAGCATTTATGCTCAGTCTTGTCTGATTGGCTGCTTGAGTTCCCGTTCTCGCTTCATAGTATGAGTATGTACTACATTCAAATGTATAACACATAATCCATTTGAGATTAAATAATCACAAAATCCACAAAAATGACCAGCCGTTTGTTATTGCACCTGCATAGTCAAGTCTTTATACTTGTCTTTCCATTTCCATTTTCCTTACCAAATGCATGCATAAACGCAGATTTCACAGTATTCACAAATTTAGAGAAAACAAGTGTAACAAGATTGCTCTATGAGGTAGGATGCGTGTACAGGATTTTTTTTTACTGAGAACAGATTCCAGGATACAGGTCAAAGGTTGAAAGCACATACAAACAGGATGCTGTAGACTCGAATTAGACCGGGATCAGGAAATCACGTAAACAACCAGTGTTGGATACACACGCTACTACAGGCTCAGCACACGATATAAACAAGAGAAAGGTGATACACAGATAAACAGGTCAAACTATAAAGAATTAACTAAGGCTCAGAATGTAAATCAGTAAAAGACTACAAAGAAAAGTGTGTACGTTATTAGCTAAGCTAAGGTGTGAGAAGGACTAACAGGAAACAGGTCAAAAGGAGCCCATGGTCAGTAGGTGGTCATTGACGCTGGGTTTTTAGGAGTGGAAGTAAAATAGGTTTATCTTTTTCTTCCTAAATTCTAATTTGTTTTATTTACTAGGAATGCGCCTTCTGCCTAATATTTTTTTATTAATTTTATATCCGTAAGTGTTAATGAACTTTAATTTGACAATCTCTCATTTTTCCACTACAAATAAACTTTCCTCTGGTGTTTATGTGTAAACAGATATATAATAATGAATAATAATGAATAAACAGAAATATCACACTTTACTGGATGTCAGCCCAATATTTGTATTGTAGCCTTGCAGCAGTGCACATGCCCTCTAGGAATAGTAAAAAATTCACATTTTAATAGGCTAGTTTAAAGCTTTCAGTCAAAAATGGTATACGCTGATATGTGTGGGCAAGCTCTATGAAAATTTCATTGGAGTAGCAAATTTATATGATCACATTGGGAATATGTATATACAGTATATACAGATATTTTAATGGTGTGTAGGTTGCTAGCTCACAGGCTAATTAGTAGTTAAGGAGATTAATAGCAAATAAGAAAGGCAGTAAAATGGGAAGAACAATAACCAGGGCACATAATTACTGTGCAAAAGGTGAACATTTTCAACTCGAACAATCACAGTTTTTGAGAGACGGTGCTAACAGTTTAGTTGAATATGTTGCAGGATATATTGCTAATTTTGTTCTACAAATGTTAAGGCTAGAGCTATTTTTTGCTACTCTGATTGAGGTTTAATGGATATATTTGACAACAATTCTTTGAACTCGCACTGTATTTAATATACCCCCGACCTCCAACACAGGTTGATTCATCGAGCTCCTCCAGGCCCTGTGTGTGTGTGTGTGTGTGTGTGGTGTGTGTGTGTTGCACCTGAGGCTGCTGGTTAGATGCTTGTTTCCTCCTGCTCTGTGCGCTGCGGTTGCATGTTTTGTGAAACTCAGCATAACACCTGAGCAGCTGTGGCTTTTATTCGTATCCTCACATATAATGTTCTCTGAGAACTGCACACACACACACACACACACACACACACACACACACACACACACACACACACACACACACACACACACACCACTTCCTCTCCCTGCAGGCTTCTGGTGCACATCTCTGTCGTGGTGCTCAGTTTCTGCATGCACCACATCAAGCTTGGCACATTTGTTTGTTATTTTGCTCTCTCTCTCTCTCTCTCTGTCTTGTTTTTTTCTCTGTTTATTTCTCAAAAGTATAACCGTGTATGTGTGTGTGTCTCCTGCTATGAACTGTAAAGTTTTGTTACTTCCGTATAAACCAGCAGAGCGATTCTGCTTAAGCCACACACAGACTACACAGGCCAGGTCTCCTTCACTGGCACTGACAGCCACAGAGGCCACGCCTCCTTACTGGGACTGACAGGTACAGAGCCTCTTTCACTGGGACTGACAGACACATAGGCCACGCCTCCTTCACTGGGACTGGCAGACACAGAGGTCACGCCTCCTTCACTGGTACTGGCAGGTACAGAGGCCAGAAGACAAATTAAGATTTCCTGTGTTCATGTAACCATCAGCAGAAAATAATCCTCTATTTCCTGTATATTAGGCCACAGTTTAGCACCAGCATTGAAATCAGATTAAAAGTCCCATTAAAACACCCGAAGATAAAGAAGTAACAAGTTAAAAACATTTGAAAAGCATTATCAAAGGCACTTGTATTAGCAGGTTATTTACACTGAATTCAAGTTTTCAGACATATTCTTTTATTTTATTTTATTTATTAGCAGTTGTTTTTATAAATAAACAGACTGTGTAAAAAAAAAAACCCTAACCTTAAAATTACATGATAAAAACACCAGAAGGTCTTCGGGCGTTGTCCCAGTGATGCCGTTTACTGTCACAATGCTTTCTTTGTTAAATAACAACAAACTGACTTTCTAAAGTGCTTCAGCTTGAGCTCGTGACATGGAGCTAGATTAAGATCAAGGATACACAGGTGTTTCCTATGTGGAAATCGTTTGGTTGTTGTTGTTGTTGTTGTTGTTATTATGACATAAGGCTATAGTATCATTTTCCACCATCCAATAAATGATACTTTAATAACAACCATAAATATGAAATGAATCATGTTAACTGAGCAAATTAAGAAACAATGGGGACAAATCAAAAAGTTAAATAAATATTATAAAGGCTAAAATAGTGCATGGACAAGCGACAGAACAGTGTAACAAGTCATCAGTTAGTGACGCAGATTTACAGTGTAACTTGAGTGAGCAAAAATGTCTTATTTGCCCTCACATTTGCCCTTAGTTCATCTTGTCCTTGTTTATGTTCCTCGCATCACTTCCTTTTATCCTCTGTGGGAGGAGCTAAGACACAAGTAAAGGAAACAAGGAAAGGCACAAAGGAAGCAAGAAGCACTTCTCTCTCAGTCACAACACACTGGCAGCTCGGGAAGTTGATTTTGTAGACAAAAATTAATATTAATATTAATCATGTTTTGAATAATGACATATTATTACACCTTTAATTTATAAGAACACTGCAATGAAATCATTTTTGGTACAGTCTGTGGATGGTTACACAATGCTTATATACATTTTTTCATTTACTTTTTATGATTAAAAAAAAGATTAAATAAATCATTTTTTAAAATTTACTACTGATTTATCACACTTACTCTTACATTGAGTTTCAACAGGGAGCCATGGTCCTGTTCTCCTGGTCGTGTGTGTGTGTGTGTGTGTGTGTGTGTGTGTTTCTTCACGTCTTTGATTCTCCTCTGAAAATTCTCACTCCTCCGAGCATGTTTCTCTCCGTAGATGCGTCAGGAATGTCGTTGCCATGGAGGTGTTTTGCTGTGTGGATGTGAAGATGTTCTTTGTGTGTTGATCTGCTGATTGCATGGAAATAACTGTTGTGATCTCAATGGTGCATGGCTCCTTACAAACCAGAAAGGAATTCGGACAAAAGCAGCAGACTGTGTTTTAGTACTGGTATGATGGAGCAAACTTTGAAGTCACATTTACGGTTATGATAAGAAACTGTTATGATAATACACAAGCAAACAAACTGTCTATGGAACTATAGCCTAGTGTCTCATGCAGTTATCCAATCAGCCAATCGTGTTTCAGAAGCACGACACGGATACGGGTCGAGAGCTTCAGTTAATGTTCATATGTATCGAACATCCATATGAGGACAAATATTATCTCGATGACTCTGATCGTGGCGTTGTTGTTGGTTGAGTATTTTAGAAACTGCTGCTCTCCTGGGATTACCACACACAACAGTTTCTAGAATTTACACACGATGTGGACAGAACCGCCTTGTTCATGAGAGAGGTCAGAGGAGAATGCCCAGACTGGTTCAAGAACTCAAATAAGCCCTCTTTACAAACGTGCTGAGCAGAAAAGCATCTTCGAATTTAACAGTGTGAACCTTGATGGGCTACAACGGTAGCAGGTGCCACTCGGTCAGCCAAGAACAGGACTCTGAGGCTATAAATCGGTTTTCTTGCGTTTGCCTTTCAATCCTGTTACTCTGCTGGTTATTTTATCGTTACAGTGTATTTCCTTGTGTTTGTCCTGCAGCTCTTGCCACCGTTGAGGACTTCCAGATCCGTCCTCATGCTCTGTACGTGCATTCCTACAAAGCCCCGGCGTTCTGTGATGACTGCGGCGAGATGCTCTGGGGTCTCGTGCGTCAGGGTCTCAAGTGTGAAGGTGAGCACCTCCAATGACATTTATCTTCTGTTCTGACAAAACCAAACCATTTAGCCAGACTAATTTATTCACAGGTTGTATATTTATTCACAGATATTAAAAATAAAACATTGCAATTTCACAATAGCACATGGGGATTCATGGGGTGTTCAAATGTGCTGTTTTGTGCATTTTTTACCATCAGCTTTTTTCCTGTGTGCATCTTTGAGAGGTCCAAAACTCTCCCACATGTCCAATATGACCAATGATGAGAAGATTCTTAACTTCCTACTGTCTGATAAAGAAACACTCTGCTGTAGAGATCTACTACATACAGTACAAACTTTACATTTTACCCCTAGTATACCCTTTAAGGTTTCACTTAAAGCTTCTAACCTCAAAGTTATTTTTGTTTGTTTGTTTGTTTGTTTTTAAATATTTGTAGGCCATTATGTTGCATAAGAAACTCACAGAAAAAAATGTGAGAGACAAGGTGGCTTAGTGGTTAGAATATTTGAATTGCACCTCCAGGGTTGCGGGTTCGATTCCTGCCTCTGCCCTGTGTGGAGTTTGCATGTTCTCCCTGTTCTTTGGGGGTGTCCTCCCCGTACTCTGGATTCTTTGTACTTTGTACTGGATTCCTCACGTACGAAGACATGCATTGTAGGTTGATTGGCATTTCCAGTTTGTCCATAGTGTGTGAATGTGTGTGCCCATGAGCCCTGCGATGGGTTGGCACCCTGTCTAAAGTCTCTAATGAATAATGAGTTTCCCAGAATAGGCCCCAGGCTCCGTGTAACCCTGTGTAGGATAAGCGGTATGGAAAATGGATGGACAGCAACAACTGTCCCTGTAGACGCTAATAAACATAACAGGAATTTAATCTGTATTTTGTAGTCACTGTGACTTACTTCAAAATGATGATGCATTTGTTTTAGTTCCTACCTGTGTTTGGCTGAACATATAATCACCATTTTTAATGCAGGTAAATTACGACAAATAGCAAGAAGTTGAGCTTCATTGTGGCTTTATAAGAACAATAAATTCTACATAAACTTTATATACCTTATGACCTGCACTGCACTTATATAGCACTTTTTCAACCTTAGTGGGTACAAGGCGCTTTACACGGTGTCTCATTCACACACACGTTAGCAGAGCTGCCATGCAAGGTGCTAACTTGCTATTGGGAGCAACTTGGGGTTCAGCGTCTTGCTCAAGGACACTTCGACATGTGAGCCGGGAATCGAACCTCCAACCCTACGATTAGTGGACAACCCGCTCTACCATCTGAGCCATATATATGTTTATATACAGTCTGTTTTACCTTTGAACATACACTGATAGAAGTAAGGACAAATCTAGAACCTTTAACCTCTTAGGTTACCCTTCATGGAGAACCCTACAGCAGAGTTTCCTAACCAGAACCCTTAGCTATACAAAGAACTAAATGAATAACCCTTACAGTATGTACCTTACAGTAAATTTCTGATCATAATATCATGAAGCTGCTGATTACAAGACGTTACTCAGTAATATTTTCAAGACAGGTTTAAATTAAGTTAGATTGTTTTTCTTCTTTTATGAAACAAAAAAGTGAACTTGAAAACAAAGATTGCTGCCTTGCTGCAGTGTAAAGGAGCAGACAATCACACACACACGCACACACACACATGCACACACACACAACACACACATACACACACACACACACACACTGCAGTATTATCATGATTACACGGCCGTGATGAACTAAACCAAATTATGACATAAAATAAGACGGAACGCAACAACAAGAAGCTTTTGTCAGAACCCGGGTGGAACAAAAAGCAACATTCAGTGCTTCACATGTTCTACTGTTTTGCTGTGGTTGCTATGGAGATTTGACTGACATTTCGAATGCCCAGTCTGCTTGTGAATAAAAACGAACCATCTAGCCAGTCATAGCTCAGGAGGTTGAGTGTGTCACTCCATCACTGGGCTGGTTTCCTCCATGAGGACATCTTTAGTACCTTCAGTATGTGTTTCTCTCTCATCAGCATCCTATAAAATACCTTAAAACTCATTTGAAGCCTAAAACTCACACTGTTGTACTGAGTTTAAGGATACATACAATTTCTCAGGTGTAACATACCAAAGATAACCGACAAATAATTATACAGTTTAATGCTTTTTATTTATATGTATGCTAAACATATGTTGTCACCAAGTTTAAAAAAAAGTATCAAACCTAGGTCAGCCTTACAGTACATAGGGATGTTTATAAAGTAGGGATACAGCAGTGAAACTCTAATGTGATCCAGAGTGACTGAGGAAGTGTAAACCTGGCTGTGTGAAAAGGTCGCGTCGCAGCGATGCCGTACTTGTGCTGGGATCAAAGCGAGCGCGCTCTGGGACGCGTTCGCTGCGTAGGCGGCTTCCTGCCTGTGTTGCTTTAGAATGGACAAAGCTTTCATGTCCTGCTGAAAGATGTCACACTCATTTAGTGCTGGGGGTAAAATTCGAGTGAGCCATACTGTATATGGGTGATTGCCGTGCTTCCTGAAATGTGTGTTCTGATATGAAATAATGGATTATTTTATACTGCGGTAATTACAGGAAGTGCATTAAATTACAGCGTGGCATTCACACGGTGCTTGACCTGATTACGGGTGGTGCTTATGAAAGTTGATTGAAGGCCACTAGTGGGCGCTGAGGAGTGTCTAGATTTTAATCTGTAAACAGTAACACTGTATATAACAGGATGTATGAATATATGAGTATACAGATTTATGAATGTAGAAATACTATAGAAAAGAGGTGCTTATTAAATATTTTAACTGTGTGTCTGTGTGTGTGAAGGATGTGGGCTTAATTACCACAAACGCTGCGCCTTTAAGATCCCCAATAACTGCAGCGGAGTGCGAAAGAGACGCCTGTCCAATGTTTCCCTGCCTGGACCCTCTCTGTCCGTCCCTCGTCCTGCGGCCATTGAGAGCGTGGTCATGACACCTGAGGAGGTACACTCGCCTTTTCTCTTGCGCTCTCTCTCTCTCACTCTCTCTCTCTCGCTCACTCTCTCTCATTTGTCACTCTTGCTTTCCTTTCTCTCCATCTCAGTTCAGTTCTACAGTATCATGAATATTAAAAATCAAATCTTTGCCAAAACCTAATACTCAAGGCAAGTAACTTTTTCTCAACCTCTCTCTTTATCTTCATTTTTCATAGACGCATAGTTGGTTTGTCTATCTGAATGAATCGATCCTGGTTGGAGAGTCCAAATGAGGGTTTAAATACTAGCTCAGCACATTTACATGCACAGTACACATAACCGAACTAAGACACAAGTCAAGGAGCGGTCCACAAACAATTAGGTTCAACATTACCATAACAACATCAAGAGTCCTAGTCCTTTCAGAGAGTGACATTTAGCTAACATTAGATAATAAAAGAAATATATACAGTATGTGTGTTTCTATGCACTGCTTTTGTGTATTTAAGTCATAATTTAAGTAAGAATTTGGAAGCGCAGTAAAGTTAGTTCAGCATTTCCACCAGTTTAAGTGTTTTCCTTTCGTAATTCGTGGTGCTTTGTGTCACTGTGATTGTTTTTTTTTTTTTAATTGACAGAAGATAAAGTCAGGAGGTTTATCGCTTTCTTCAGTTGAGTCTAAATTGTTTTATCCAGCATTATTCTTTATATCTCTTGCTCAAGATACCGTTGACTCCTCATGTATTTCTGTGCTGAGTTTTCACCATGTCTTCCGGTCACACGCTTAGAAAAGAAGCAAGTGGGCCGACAAGGCAAGGCTTGTAATGGACTAAATGTTGTGTCCTTCAGTGATGTATCCTTCAGGTGGAGACTGAATAGAGACACAAAGAAATACATTGATTACTTTTACTTTTTTTTTTTAATAATAAGATTTCAGTCATATTCTTAGCTTGCAGACTTGTAATTTTGTGATCTAAAGGCAACCCGACAATGCATTCACTGTTCAGGTGGTTGTCAGGAACAGGTAGTAGATGCAGATGCAAGTGCAGATCATTTAGTGTAGAAGAAACCGTGAAAGCAAGAAGTGTGAGCACGAACTATGGGTACGAGGCAAGAAACATAGAGACTACAGACGACAGTGACAATAATAGATGCTCGAAAGTGAGCCACAGAAAAACTTCAATAGTGGTCCTAACAAGGCATAATGAGACACAGGTGAGAGTGAGTAGGGAAAGTTTGACCAGATCATAAGTCTTACAGGGGCTGATGGGTAGTGCGCCATTGGGCACTTCCGTTACCAGAAATGTGAACACCAAACATAAAGTAGTTAATAACAGAGGCTGATGATTTAGCTAGCTAGCACCTAGATGTTATGTTTTTGATACAAGCAATCTAAAGAAAGAATGACAAAACTTTACGACAAATTCCATAAGAAAAGATTCCATATAACTAAAATTATCCTGTAATTACACTTATCACATCGACTACGAAATAAACTACCGTATTGACAAACATGAACGGTGACTACGTTTACATGCACATGGAATTCCGTTTAACGTCTGTATATTCGGATCGCAGCCATATTCCGAATACGATGTTTATATGCGTACAGGCATTGGAATATTCCTGTACCCATGGTTGTTAGAAGTCTGCCCATGTACACACATGCGCTTTTACTTTCCTGCTGTTATTTCCCAAAAGATTCAAGATGCTGCCGTTGCTACCCACAATTCCTTGCAGACTGAGCATGTGAATATATCTCCTTTTAGTGGATTTTCTGAATAAGGTGTTTACATGCAACAAATTTCCGATTCAAACAGGCATATTTCAGGAGCTGGAATCCGAATTTGACGAAGTCTTAATCGCAATCAGATTGCAACGTTTAGATGACTCGATATTAATCAGAATATTAGATATATATATATAAATTTCAATTAATATCGGATTATTGATGTGCATGTAAACGTCATCAGAGTGGAACAACTTTGCATTGCCTAAATTCACTGATATCAGAGTAGCGTCTCGTTTATCTATTAACTTTATTAACTGTGTGTGTGTTTGTGTGCGTGTAGCAAAGGCCACTGTTGGAGGCAGGAAAACGGATCCCATCATGGAGCGGCCGGCCCATCTGGATGGAAAAGATGGTGTTGGGCAGAGTCAAAGTGCCACACACCTTCAACGTGCACACCTACACACGACCTACCATCTGCCAATACTGCAAACGACTGCTCAAGGGCCTGTTCCGCCAGGGCATGCAGTGCAAGGGTACAACAACTGTAATATACCTAGAGCATATTATATCGTACATAACTATAGGTGCATGTTGATTGTGAATTCTCGATTCTGATTGGTCAGCAGCTAAAATAATAGCTCCAGCTACAAAGGAAAATCACAGGTTTCTAATATTATGAATATGTAGACTGTAATTGCTGCAGTGTAAGAGGAATAAAACACTTAGTGACATGTTTATATTGGAAAAGAATCCACTTTATGGTTGTAATAGTAACAGTGACTGCATTACTCCACCCCACTGATTATTTTCCTATAACAACACATCCCACTGTGTTCCATTTCCTGCTTTAGCTACAC